CACACACACACACACACACACACACACACACACACACACACACACACACACACACACACACACACACAAACTCAAAACATGACTCAGTTGATGCTTCTGAAGGAGCCTACGTGTTCAGATGTAAAGCTTGATGCACACGCCTGCATGTCTGCTTGTGCTGTAAATCTACACATCCATCTCTGTTTTACACACACATACACACACACACACACACACACGGCCTGGAGATAACCCGTGAAGTTTAGCAACACCTACAGTTGTTCACACACCCTCACACACACACACGATGTAACGATGTAAACGTTTCACTTCTTGTGGTGAGAGATCAAACACACCTCTACATTCGCACAGACACACCCAAGAACAGTAAAGAACACACACACATTTACACACTCGTGTTTCTACTTTGAGGTAAACATCACGACTTCGCCACCCTTGAAAACAAACGCAAAAAGCAGCAACTTTAAAAATTCATGTTTTATCAGATTACAAAGCTTTTATTTCAGATTTGTTTGTGAAAAAGCAGCAACAAATTTTCAGGTTTTTTACTCTAATTACTTTAACTAATATCGCTAAAATATAAATCTAAAGTCTCGTTATGCACTCAAACATTCGATACGACGAAAGTAACCACCACGCCAAATTTTAGCTCAGGATCTGCAAAACTGACTGGGTTACGACCACTTTTGCATTTGCTACGTTTGACTAGCTTTGGCAGCCATCTTGAATTGGCCTGACTCCAGAAATGAATCAGTTGTAGACGTGCATCCAATAAATGAATGTTTCATTAAATTCTGCTCATTGGGTCATAAGATATTATGCTAACAGACAAATAAAAGCACACCAGGGGCTGAGCTAGGTTTTTTTTTTGCAAGGGGTGGCCAAGGTATGTTTTAGGGGTGGGCACATACAAATAAAGAAAAACATTCTGGATTGGAAAATTCAAGATGGCCGACACTGGCGTTAATTCAGCTGTTTTAAGAAATMCTGAGCTGACATTTTGTGTTGTCAAAGCTAAGAATGATCCACACAACAAGCTGAATGCTAGTCACAATTTATTATCCAGCCATTTTTAGACATACAAATCTGAAGAATAGTGCGGAAGTAGCCGAAAACAATCGTAACTTAATTCTAAATGCTAATTGACAATTCAAGATGTCCATCACAGCTAACGGTAAAAGGCTATTTAAGCTCTTTTTAAGACTTATTGAGATGAAATTTGTCATGGAACAGCTAAGAATTATCACATGCCGATTACCGATGCTAATCCCAAATAAGGCTAACCACTAATGCTAATGCTAAATTTACCAGGGGGTTCAATTCAGCCAATTTTCAAACATCTAAAAGTTTTAGTAGTGTCAGAGAACAATCTAACAAAAGCTAAATGCTAATGTAAAATACAAGATCCACACCTACTTGTCAATTATTTTGGGGGTGGCTCCGCCCCTGACACACACACACAAACGCACACACACAGAAAGAAAATAATCAACTAATTTTAGTTTCTAGTCTTCCTCTTTGCAGGAACAAAAAAAAGTTCAAAACACAGATGAAGTTCTCAGGTATTCATTTAACCAAAGTTCTAAAGTAAAAGTACTTATTAAAAAGTATTTATAAGTATCTGCGTGGTGTTCTGAAGTGGTTTGGATCCGGCACACGAGAGAAGCTGCAGCAGAGCGACGGGATCGTTAATCACCCGAAAAACACAAACCAGCTGATGGTCGGGGCTTTTTATTTTTAGTCTCAGGTAAACGTCGCTGACTCAGCGCGTTGCAGTGGAGACGGAGGCTGTTAGCCAATCAGAGCTGGTCGCAGACGGCTAAACGTGACTAAGTTGGTGCCTAATTTTTACGTAGTCATCTGTAACCCGATTCAAGATGGCCGCCATGTTTGTCAACTTTTACAAACACAAAAAYGGCTAAAACTCAGCGTATTTTTCTGCTGTTGAGGTGAAATTTGGGGTATTAGTAGCCGAGAGTGATTCCCAACGCATACTAAAAGCTCAGACAGATGTTTTGTTTTATGCTAACAGAAAAGCTGAGTCAATAAAGAGAGTTCAGATTCAGACGTTTAGCTTATTTAGCTGAGGACAAGCTGTCAACTCACCGATGCTGGAGTCCCTCCTGAACACGTCTCTGTCGAAAATGTAAAAGGAGAGGTGTCTGAAGCTACGTGGGATCTCGCAGTAGAAGTCCTCCCCGTAAAACGGGCTGAAGAACAGAAGAAACACAGGTTAGGAGTTGAGATGGCGGCTAAAAATAGAACACAACTCTTTTCTCCTCCTTCCAGCAGGATTGACTCGCTCAATTAATCACAGATGGAAAACAAAGCCCGGGGGGAGTTTAAGTCTTTCCACAAATGACACGAAACACGACTCTGTGGTTTTTTTTTCAGCAACAAAAGGTCTGTTTGTGGCCTTTAGCTGCAGGGCCCGTCAGCGTCCGCGGCCCACGCCTTCACCTAAATGACAGCCGAAGAAACCCCAGCAKTAGGAAGCTGGTGAGCCGAGCCCTCGGGGAGCTGATGCTCATAATTAGACTTCCTCCGTGAGTCGAGGCGTAAAGACAGGCGGAGGAGCCGAGTGATGAAGAGGAAGGAGCGTGACTGCACTTATCAACAATCACATCAAATGAAATTATCTTTTTATTTAGATTTAATTAACGAAACACAGGGTCAGCTTGATCTGAAACACCAAGCTGTGACTTTTATATTTTTAACTTTGTTTATAAATATTTTCCCGGAGAGTCGATAATTTCCTTAAAAACATGTTTTCTTTGAAATCTGCTTCAAACTTGCTCTGTTTCTGAATTCTTTTGCTACTTTGAGCTTTGGACTAATCAATTTAGCTACTGTTTTGCTTATTTTACTTTTTCAGATTTTTTTTCTAGTTTTAGCTTTTAGCTACTATCGCTAATTCTGGCTTTTAGCTAATATTTGCATGTTTTTATTTTTAAGTAAAGTTTTGTCTATTTTATTTTTCTTTGCAATTTTTCATTTTTAGCTGGGTTTTTGCTAGTTTTAGCCTTTAGCTACAGCATTGTTTACTTCAGCCTTTAGCTACAGTGTTGCTGGCTTTAGCTTTTAGACAGTTTTGCTCATTTTAGGTTTTAGCTAAATTTATGATAGTTTCAGCCTTTGGTTACAGAATTTCTCATTTTAGCTTTTGGCTACAATTTTGCTAGTTTTAGTACTGCTCCAATCCTTTTGACGTTTAACCACCTTTTGCCAATTTTAGTTTTTAGCTACAGGTTTGCTGTTTTAGCTTTTAGCTATATTTTTGGTTATTTCACATTAAAGCCTCAGTTTAGTTCATTTTAGCTTTTAGCTTTGAACTAATGTTTTAATCATTTTAACATTTAACCACAGTTTTGCTAATCTTAGCTTTTAGCTATAATTTTGCAGCTTTTAGCTTTTAGCTATGGTTTTGCTTATTTAACCTCATAGCCTCAGTTTAGCTAATTAAAGCTTTTGGCTATAGTTTTGTTAATCTTTGCTATAGTTCAACTCAAAGTTTAGCTCTTAGTTACAAATGTTTTGATTTTAGCTCATAGATGTGATTTTGCTTATTTTAGTTAGTAGCAACAGTAATGCTAAATTTAGCTGTTTAACTACAGTTGGGTCAACAGATGAAATGTAGCCATTGAGCTGATTTTGGCGCATTTAGGTTGTTGTGTAATGCATTGATGTTGATTAATGTGCACTGTCCCTGTAAATAAATTAATGAATGTTTAGCTACTGTACTTCTGATTTTAGCTTTTAGCTACTTTGTTACTAATTTTAGCTAATTTTCTGCTTGTTGTAACTTTAATTATTCAGTTTAAAACTCATTCTTTAAAGAAAAAACTGTATTTTTTCAGTCAAGTTTAGATTTTATCATGTTTTAAATTTAAAAAGTGGTGATAAATAATGAAACGCACCACAGTGACTTCTCCACGATCTTGGTTCTGAAGACCTCCTCCTGGTCCAGGTTGACGGTACAGAAACAGTCCCTCATCCTGTTCGGTCCCGGGTACGGAGGGATGTTTTTGGCTTCTCCTGCACAAACAAAAAGGGGAGGAAGTGAGCAGGAAGCCGAGCCGTTCAGGAGCACCGGGTTCATTCAGGCCACTTGTTGAAGAATATTTAAAGCATGAAGAAAAGGGGAAGCAGGCGTTACGTAAGTCCACACCTGTCTCAGCTTTGAGCGCGGCGCGTGTGCCTGCGCAGTGTGTGTTCCTGCGCAGTTCGTGTTCCTGCGCGATCGTCTCGGCTCTTTTGTCACCATGCGACCAAATCCAGCAGCTCGAATGAGTTTAATTTTATGTTTGACACAGAAACATCCGGCTGTGGTCTCAGGGTTAAGAGCATGACATGTAAATGGGTGTGTGTGTGTGTGTGTGTGTGTGTGTGTGTGTGTGTGTGTGTGTGTGTG